CATCACTGGTATGTGGCCTAAGTGGCACACTTGGAATAAATCATTTCATCACATAGCTTGTTAAATCATTTGTATGCGGCCTAAGCGGCACACTTGAAATAAATCATTTCATCACATAGTTTGTTACATCACTGGTATGCGGCCTAAGCGGCACACCTAGAATAAATCATATATGCACATGATGCATGTCACACATTCACTATTTCATTGACACAACATTTCACTTGTCATGGAATTTCATGTCTTATCTCATTTCATTACATTTCATATTCTCATAGTCATAGTTTATCTCATTTCGTCACATTTCACATTCTCATAGTCATAGTGTTCACATTAGCACATTCTCATTCACATCATGTCTCATGTCATTTGTTCATATTTCACATAGTCATACTCATAATTGTTCGTCATAGGATTTCGCACAGGAACTCACAGAGCACTCTAATTCATATTAAAACATATTTATTCTCAAAATTAATCACATATTCATACATTACATCCAACAAGGATCACAACAGAACAATCAGAAAGCAAATAAGAAAACATTCATATTTTGCCTATTCCTAGAAGCATGCATCAGGCAAGGGATTAGGGGTCAATCCTACTACCCAACAACTATTCCCACACCCCCGAGCGAGGTTTCTCACTCCCCCATTACTTGGATAAGCAGAAGATGAAGTTAGAGCAGAATCTGGTTGATCTCCTTCTCTTGGTTCTCCTTGGTCTTCAGAGAGTGTTTCCAGAAGCAGTGCCAGAGTCTGCTATTTATAGATTTCAAAAGTGGCCAGAATGGCCTGTTTCAGATCCAAAACGGACCATTCTGGATCCCTTCATCATGGGTAAAATTCACATCTAGAACGGCCCGTTCTTAAACTAGAATCGACCGTTCCCAACTAGGGTTATAGGCCTTTTTAGTAGTTTGGAATGACCCGTTCTAGGCTATCAAAAATAGGTCTTTTTAGTAGTTTGGAACGGTCCATTCCAGTTTGGGACCAACCCATTCTGGGCTACTAAATCACTCTTGTTGGGCTTTGAGCCTTCGTATAATCTGTGAAAATCGGGGTGTTACAATGAGAGAAATCCAAAATTTGTATAAGTATGAGATTGTATAGTTGAGAATAACTTAAAGAAATTAATTTGTATTACTTCATAGTTAAGCATGCTTAACTTGGAGTAATTTAGGGATGGATAACCTTCTGGGAAGTTTCCTTCCCAAGAAGCGTGCAAGTGAAGACAAAACATATTAAAAAGTCTTGTGTTGGGTTGTGGGATCAATTGTTGATCCTAAAAGCGAATGGATATCTCAAAAAGGGTTACCCACGGAGGTATGGAATATATCTTTAATTTTATCATTTGATCAAAAGATGTTATTTAAAATTTTTCTTAGGGTAAAAGGTGTCACAATTCCTATGAGGGTGAACAAGTTTAGAGGTCAAAACTATGGGAGACCTTACTTTGTGGTTGTCTTAGTCATATAAAAAGTGACTACATGGATAAAAATTTGACTTGCTTCAATTGTAAGAAGTATGGCCACATTATAAGAAACTACCCAAATCCTAAGATAGAGAGTCAAAATTATGGTCAAAGCAATCAAGCATTGATAAAAAAAACTATTAGGAAAGTGTTTTCTCTTATTGATGCTAAATTTGTAGAATTTGATGACTTGATCCAAGGTACATAACTCACAAATGGAACTCATTTGATTCTAGTGTAAGTACTGATTCATTCATCTTTGAAGTTTATGATAAGAAATTGATTTTGCTTATGTTTTCTTTAAAATTTGATTTGATTGTAAAAACAAAAACTAAATGTTACACTTGTACTTTTGATGTATGCATAAAATGTCTGGTAATAGTTTTTAGTAAATGGTTTGTGCTTGACTTGATATGTTTTCCCTTTTAGTCAACTAAATGTGAGGGATGGACTGATTATCTTCCAACTATGTCTTGTTAAATTCCTTTGATAAAACTATTATGTTTTGTGAGAATGTTGATAATAAGAGTGAAGATTTCATCATTGCAAACTAAGTAAAGACATTTTAAAAGATATTGTTCAACTATATATGATGGTTGTTTCCTTGAAACTAGAAAGTAAAGTTGAGGTTAGTGACATACCTTTGATTTCCTTAAATGTTTTATGACATTAACTTGCGAGACTGAAAGTTACATATTAGATAATTGAGGATCATTTATTGAGAAAGGGGGTTATTGAATTGCTTTTAATTGGGTGGAGTAGCAATATTAGAGTATCTTTGGAACAAATGTTAGAAATGTCAAAGATAAAGATGTTAAATTGAAAATATTGATTCTCTTTAATTTAGTTAATACATAGGGACCTATAAGAGTTTTGATTTTCATTAGGTTGTTAATACGTTGAATTTTAATTATATAAATTGTGATGACCAAGAGAATGAATGGAGGTCTTCTTTGCTATTGTTTCACCATTACAAATTTGATGGTTCCTCATTTTATAAAGATATAGTAGTGATTTTCTTGTAGATTGTTACTTGATCAAGCATGGGAAGGTTGGCGTGACATTTTCGAGCCTTTGTCCCATGTGGTTGCCAATTACATCGTCCTTGTGGTTATGGGTTTTTCTGATTTAGTTTGTGATGGAAACCTTAGAAGAGGTTAGATTGATGTAGCTTTTCTTTCAAGCTTGTTGAACAGATCTTTCACCTCTTGTACTCCTTCAAGCTTACTTCAATGTCTTTCATTGACGTTAGAAGCCATTTCTAACACACAAGAAAAGATAGGAACTCTCTTAGGTGATGCCACACTCTTGAACAATGATAAGTCTCTTCAATTTCTCACCACACTTATACAAGGATAAGAGAAAATGAAAATGTTCAAAGAGAGAAATAATCTTTCAAAGAGAGATTTTGAGAGAAAATCTCAGCCAAATCTCAATATATGCATTAAAGTTGTGTACAAATAGTTCCAAGCACCTATATATATATATAGAGTTTAGGTAGCTTGGAGAAGAAGCTAGAGTCTTAGGAAGTTTGAAGAGGAAGCTTAACATCTAAGGAGACAAGGAGACACTTAAATCTAGTTTCACCAAGGCATGAGAAAATTTCGAGTTGGGATTTGGAAGAATGATAGAGGGCCTGGCCATGTCTAGAGGAGTACAATCAGGCACGAGGAGAACGTGAGAAGGGATTTAGGAGAATGGTAGATGGTTTGGCTGCACACAAGCTAGGAGATGTGTTCTCTTGGGATTTGTTCCAATCAACACTATATCAGTTCTTAAAAAGGATGTAGAACACCCAATATTTACATCATTATTCCCTTAAAGTTAACGTAAATATATGAAATTTTTATATTTATTTATAAAAATGTCTCCTCATTTTATTTCTTCATTATTTTTATGTTAACTGATGTAAAAATGGTAATGTAGAATAATTGTAATAATAAGTACCTAAATTTTTCTTTTAATTATTATGTTGCAAGAATGCTTAAAAGCCAAAAGTTTATAGTAACTACTCCAAGTATATGACATACGAGATATGCTTTTAACGAGATATGCTTTTAAAGTTTTCAAATCTTTAATATAGCAAGAAGCTATATGTGACATATGAGGGAAAAAAAACAAAGGAAAAATCCTTGGTGTAGGTAATATTGGAAAATCATCTTTAATTAGGATATATATGTTTTCCTAGCTCGTGGAATGAACAAGCATAACTTACTTATTATAGTGGGACAATACTCTTATGTTTCTCTTTGTGGTTTTTACACTTAGGGAGACAATACCCTCGCTTAACGTCAAAGCGTAGGACTATCTCACTATGAGTACTCTCATGATTAGCAAGATACCAAAATAATATTAATTATTTGAATTATTTCAAGTGGGAATCGCATTAACATCTATCGATAGGAATCAAAGTTTTAAAAAAAAAATTCTATATTTCTTAGTATAAAAACACGAACAAAACAAAAGTATAGTATTATTGTAAGCAATATATGAAGGTGTTACATGTATAATTTCATCAATTGGACCAAACCTGACACATCTTAAATCAAGTCTGTCCTAAAAAGTTCAAAACATGATAATATATTACACTAAAATCATAATATCTTAGATTTTTTTTTTCAAAATTAACAAATTTATTAGAGTTTTATTATTTTTTTATATCAATGAAAATTGCATTTACTTCTTCCAATGTTTAATTTTGATAAATGATGTATTGTGAGTTTAAATTATGCAAGTGCAACTTCACATAACATGAAAGAAGATTAAATATAAACAAGATATATAAATTGGAGCTGATCGATTTTATTTTTCAAATTAGTTTTTTATATTTGAAAACTAAAAAATAAGAAAAATTATTTTTTCAGTTTCAAAATGAGTTTTCTAAAAGCCAGAAAATCGAAACAATTTGAACATGTTTTAAAAGTTTCTTTTTATATCTTATCAAAAAAAAAAAGTTACTTTATATTTTTGCTTTTACGAAAATAAATGTAAACAAGCTATAGTAATTCTTCGTTCTTCTCTTTTTAAAACTTTTTTAAATAAATCACTTTCTTAATTTTGAAACAGTTATCAAAATCTATTATTTTATAAAATAATTTTAAAGAATAAAATATAAATATAAAATCAACCATTCCCAAAGGTTTTCTTCATGATCGAGAACATGTGTTTTTGTTTGTATTTATCGTTGACAATTCAACATGTTTAAAAAGTTAAATTAAAATAATGTTAAGCACTGTTTAATGCAAAAAAGAAAAATACTTTTGTTATTTAAATAGTAGCATGCATGGGACCGTGGTTGAAAAGTTCTGCAGCGCGTTTCATCTGTAACTTCAAAGAAAAAGTGACATAAAACTCCTACGTTTAGTTTGAATGTGTGGAAAGGTAACTTGTGGTGTTGGTTTGCTCCAATGTATTTTGTCCTTATAGCTTTTTCTTGTTGATTTCTTGGTTCATATTCTAGGAGTTGGTTCCTGAAGGAACCAAAACATATATGCTATGACTCATTCAAAGTCCAGTCTCAGATTGCACGGAAATTGCTTCTTTGGCATCACATGATGACCCTAGCCTATATATTTTTCTCAAGCTTTCATGTTCTCCCCAACTTGAGTTTCAAAAAGAAAAACTAATAATTACTCAGTCTTGCTATTCTCTCCTTGCGTTGATCATCTCATGATGAGTTTTAGAGCTTGTAAGCTTTTTTCTTCCTCACTTTTTGCAGCTTCAAAATTGTTCCTCACTTCTTCTACCCATCCACTTCAAAGGAGAGCTCTTCTTAGCTCTATGATCCCCCAAGCTCAAGGTAATGCCCATTGCTAATTGCTTGAGTCTTTTGAGCTATGAAAGAAAATAAGGTAAAATAAAATAAGTTTAATTTGTTAGCAAAAATTACTTTCTATATAAGGTAGTATACCCAGAAACACTCTTATGTTAACTTTTTTTAAGAGTTGATTTTATTTTATGTATAATTTTAGTTCATAAAAAAACTTATTTTACCTTTTATTTATATATATCTATTATAAGTATTTAATATTTATCAAAGAAAATTTCACACAAGATATAAAAATTAAAAAAAATAATATAAAAAATGTAACATTTATGATAAGAATGAAAATAAATCACGTTTTTAAAGTCTGACTTAACCAATTTAAGTCTTGTATGACTTAAAAGTTTATTTAAACAAAAAAATTTATATAAGGCCTATATATAATTCAACAAGCATAAGTAGCCTAATAGACTAATATATTATAAAATTTATAATTATTAATAATTATATATATTATGAATAAAATATTAATTATTAAAATATAAAATATATATAAATATAACATTATTTTATATTTTAAATTGATCAATTTATCAAAGACTTAATAGGTCGTTTATAAAAGATTATGTCTATCCTTTTTAATAAACATGTTGGATCAAACTTTCAACAAGTTAAGTCGCAAATTAGGTTGTTAAACTTATTTTCACTCCTAATTTGGAATAAGATTACCACTTTGTTAAATCTTATATCAAAATTTAAAAATACAATAAATAATAACCACTCTTATCATAATATTTAACTATGTCAATTTTTTTATTCTAGTAAGAGGATCTATTTCCAAAAATAGGCCTCATCCACTGATTTAATTTTAGAAGTTGTAAGGAAGTATGGAAGAGGGACATATGATAACTAGAGTAATAATTAGGAGCAGGTGAGATCATATCTCCTAAACTAATATAAATCATTAATTTACTAACATTAGCTGATAAAAAAATATTTGACATGAAAATAATATAATCCCTCACTTTGACTTTTATCAATTATGATAGTCTCTAAAATTGACACAATTGATCACTTTATTCTCTTATATTATTAAATCAATTGATTTAATCATGATATTCCACAATCATCTGTCATTTTAGTATATGACATTATAGACTAAATTAAATTATGGGCATGAATGTCAGATACTAAATTATCCAAAAAAAATTGTAAAAATCGAGGACTGAAATGTTTTTTCTGGTGTTAATGAGTGATAAAGGTAATTTCAAGAACTAAAATCATCTTTACTCATGTTTTCAAACATCATTGAACACCCTTTTAGGCCAGAAGACCAGTTTGGTTTTCCAAAGATCATATATGTCATCCACCTTAGCCACTTTGGCCAAGGAAGATGAAATACAAGGTAAAGGCATGGAAACACTAAGAGCAGTTGAAGACCAGCATGGGGGAGTTGTTGTAAACATGGATGAGCCTATGGATTCCTCACTTTTTGCTTCTTTACTAGAAGCCTCAATATCACAATGGAGGGAACGGGTACAGAATTCAAAATAATAATATTAATTTATTAATTCTGATAACTAGTAATCTTATTTGGACTAACCATTCCAATTGATCAAAATGTGGTTTTTAAAGGGAAAGAAGGGGGTGTGGATCAAGCTGGCAATAGAACATTCAAATCTTGTGGATTCTGCAGTTAAGGTAATTAAACACTTGTTTAATGAAAATTTAGTAAAAAACAATTGTTAGAAGACATTTTGTGATGTTGTGGTTCCCCTTTTGCAGGCTGGATTCAAATTCCACCATGCTGAACCAGATTACTTGATGCTTGTGCATTGGATTTCCAATGCTCCAAATACCCTTCCTGCAAATGCTTCACACCGCGTTGCAATTGGTGCTTTTGTCATGAATGCCAATAGGGAGGTAATCAAAATCAACCATTTAAAATTTTTATTTATTTATTTTGTCTCTTTTTTGCTATTTGAATTGCTCAAGATTTTGAACCCTGCTTCCTGGAAAATAGTACTACATTCATGAACCTAGAGTCAATATCTGCCTTGATTTGTGGTTATCCTACCTACTTTTTGTGCTGAAGTCTTGTTGGTCATTGTCATGCATATTCCTAAATATATTAAAACTAATATATTTGTTGTTTATTATTTAAGAACATAGTAGTATAACTCCATTCCTTCCGAAGAATTCCTATAAGATCAAGTGGTATCTTAGGTCTTGAATGTCGACACCATACCCAAATTAAAAATTGAATCTGATCTTTAATTAAAACACATAAAGTGTCAAAATATATTTGTTTTAGATAATGTTTATAAAATTGAAGTATAATTTCGATGCAATACAATGTAAAGACTTTTATATAGTATATAAACTAATTAGGATTTATAAAAGTATAATAAATATGATTTTAAAATTAATTATTATTATTATTATTATAAAGCTGCTAATTTTTAATTACATGACGGTCCAAAGGTTGTAATTAAATTTATAAACTTGTTTGTGCTCATTTGACAGTTGCTTGTGGTTCAAGAGAGAAATGGTAGGTTCAGTGGCGCAGGAATCTGGAAAATGCCTACTGGAGCCGTTAATGAAGTATGTTAAAAAATAATTGTTGATTATTAAATTTTAATGTAAGTATGTCACTTTTTTTTTTTTTATTAATTTGAATTGCTTTTGCAGGGTGAAGATGTTTGTACTGCTGCGGTTAGAGAAGTGAAAGAAGAGACAGGGGTAAGCAAAAACATTACTATATAAATATAGTTTAATCATTGAATATTTTTATGCCCTTTCTAAATCTAAGGCCTTTGCTTTTGTTCTTTCAGATAGAGACAAAGTTTGTGGAGGTCTTAGCATTCAAGTAAGTTATAAAATATGTAATGGAAAAGTCTGTGCTATATTTTTTTTTTTTGGGATATTTCCTGAAAATCAGAATCAGCATCAACATCAAGAATCATAATTCGAGTATATCATATTCAATTATGTATGTGGCTGTAATGATCCATCTTTCTTTCATCAGGGAAAGACATAGATCTTTCTTCAGGAAATCTGAGTTGTTCTTTGTTTGCATGTTGCAACCTCATTCCTTTAAAATTCAGAGACAAGTTTCAGAAATTGAGGCAGCTCAGGTATGTGTTTGCATGTTCCGAGACCAGTTAGCATTTAATTTCCAATTTTTTTATTAAAATATTCAATTTATCTAAAATAAGATTAAGGACTTATTTGTAATTCTACAAATAATTATAACATTATTTTTTACTTTTAAAAATATTTGTGTAAAAATTATAAAACACAATTTTATAGTTTTCACTATTTTAGTATAAATATATTAATGCAAAAAAAAATATGATAAATAGTTTTATAATTATTTAAAACCCTAAACTTTAAATTCTAGGCTTTGCTTGAAAAATTTGTGTTTAACACTACTCATACCAAAGATTTATCGAAACAAATCTTTTATTCCTTAAAAAAAGGTGTTATTAATAATTTTAGTTGAAATTAGTACCAGATATTTCAATAACTTTTTTCTTCATAAAAATTATGATGAAAAAAAAAAAACAGACTATATATGTGCACGATAATCTAACATAATCACTAGACCAATCGAAATAATTTTTATTCTAATCATTCTAATGTATTTTTTTTTCTATTTATTTATTCAGTGGATGGCAATTGAGGATTACATGGCCCAGCCTTTTGTTAGAGAAAATGAAGTATTTGACTTTGTGACAAAAATAGGGTTATCAAAATTTGATGACAATTACAATGGCTTTTCCACCATACTCTCAAGCACTTCCTCTCGCAAATCCTACCTTTACTTCAACGACAAGGATGCTACTCGCATGTTAGCTTCCAAACTCTAACAATTTCCAACCCATTGCCCTACATCATTCATTATTTGCCACTCATTCAATTCAATTACTAAAGAAATAGTGTTGTCAATTTACAATTTGTTCATATTTTATATCAAGTCTTTCATCAATGTGTGGAGGGCTGCTGATTTTTTATTTTTTATTTTGTTCTTTAATACACTGAAATTATGTCAAGTGTCAACTCATGTATACTTTCTTATTGTAATAGTTGCTATTTCAATCCCCACCTTAATTGAAGAAATAAGAACCGCTTTCTTTCTTTTTCTTTGATTGCTATTATTATGTCGATCGACTGTTGTTAAAATTGAATTTTAATCACTTTTTTTTCTTTCTTGATTGGTATGATATTGATTAAATTTTTTTAAACTTGAATTTTAATAGTCGAGAGAAATTGAATCAATTGACATAAGTTATTTCAGTTTTAATTGGGGATTTTAAGTCCAAGTTACGTTAAAGATTTGAAAAGAGAATTTTAACTTTCATAATAATTATATTCAGTTTAAACAAATAAAAAATACATATGGTGTATAATATAAAAATTTAAAGTAATTTATATTTGAATAATTTTATTCTAAAAACAAATTAAATTCATAATAAAATTTAGTATGAATTTCTTACCACAAAAATTACTTAAAATTAGATCCACTAAAATATAATTCTAGATTTCAAATCAATTTCTTAACATAAACAGAATAAAAAATATTTATAAAAAAAGAAAAATTACATTTGTTAATATATCTCAATGTAATTTTGGATTATCTAACATCAACAGTCAGCACCCAGACACTCTCCGTAAACAGAATTACATGAAATCGGTTATGAGCATTTTATTTTGTAATCTATAATTATTTTATACTAGTATTTTATAATGTACAAATGTACATACAAAATATTTATTATATATGATTTAAATTTATAAATTATATATATAAATAAATATTATATTTAAATATATAAATCATATTTAAAATTTGTATAAATATATATTTTTAAACATATAAATTATAT